GTATTGCATTACTCACTGTATTTGTTTCCAGGTAACAACATTTCACACAACATACATAGAGTCTTCACCAAACAGGTCGCACAAGTTGAAAGTTATGAGTGCTAACTACTGAGCCACCATCCTACTTGTGTAGTCGGCAGGTCCACCACCATAAAATGTTGTATAGCTATTCATGTTCCTCAAACAATGACTTATGGCACTATAATCAGGTCAAAATTCCAATATTGTTTATGACCAAAAGTTCAGCAAAATAATCACATACCAATCAGTATCAAAGTCGTGTTTTGTACTGATTTACAAATATTAACATGCTAAACAAACTCAAATGCGGACATCAGCATATAGCTCAAAGCACTTCTGTAACTGGAACCCCACAGATCAAAAACGAAGTCATCACAAGCTCAGAACCACTGCCAGCATTTACAGGTTTATCTGCTTTCTCAGGCATTTCATCATCACCAGTACCTCCACTTTAATGTCAGACTGCATGGCAATGTGTAAGGTTGTAGTGACCTTCAGTTTAATTCCATGTGTGAATTTGAGATACATATTCTATGTGTGTACCAAAAACAGAGAAGCACTACATGAGTTGTGTTCTGAATGATTTTTGATCTTTCTGCAGTCATTTTCACAGCAAAACAGGACTGTCACACATTTAGATTTTCATGCATTAACTTAATAGCTTGCTGCTCGCCTCTGGCAAAAACATCACTTACAAAGTCTATATAATTATATGAGATCATTGAACAGCTTTATCACAAGGGTGTCTTGGGCTTATAGTATTTCCTGTGGATGCTTTTCACATAAATCATAGAGCTTACAATGCCAGACAGTTATCTCCATCTAATTTTTCTTGTTCACAACATCTTCATCAAGCTTTTGCTTAGACAGGTTGTTGTAACAGCTGCTTGTCAGCTTTGCACCAACCATAGATACTGTATCTGCTGTATATGTCATTTTTGAATGAATTATGAACCAGAGGTTAATATAAAAGCATGAAGAACATACAAGTTCATACACAAGTGCCTGAACACATGCACATATGCACAGTAGATCAGTTGTATAATACTTTACAGTCAGTGTACTTCAGCACATAATACAATCTGCTGTCTGAGGTCTCAGGGAGCCTTAGAGAATATAAATATCTGTTCTGCTTGTCATTTGTTCTTACCCGGTAATATCCAGACAGTGATCCTGTGTACATTTTTATTTGACTTAATCTGTGTTCTCACATGATTACCACAGTTCTGTGATCAAATGTTATGACTGCAAGCAAACAGTAACAACACTCCAGCAGTGCTAAGGAAGTAACGGTTACCTTCCCACATGAATTAAAACATTCACTCAATCAACATTAAAGTCAGCAATGAAAAAAAAGAGCCCATCAGAGATTTTAACTTCCAACTAGACAAAGTATTAGATAACAAAGCAGTAGACTTCCTCAATGTGATGAACAACTTTGATTTTATTCAAAGTCTCAAATTACCTTCCTATAACAATAGACACCCGCTAGATTTAGTCATAACAAAATGGCAAAGTACTGGGATTGGCCAAATTGAAAAAGCACCATCGACATTTAATGATTTTATTTATTTTATTAAAACTACAGTTTGTAACTTAGGATAGCACTATCATGAAACTCCAAATCAGTCCACTCTGCTCCGCCCAGCGCTCCCTCTCCAATAGGGAGTAGTAGAGTACTACTATGGTCTGCTGTGCACTCCATCACACTCTGTCCAGGTCTTCAGATATAGTATTTGTCATCATGACAGTTAGGTTCACTACTTTAAGAATTTGAAATGTCAGAATAATACTAGACAAAACAATGTATTTCAGCTTTTATTTCTTTCATCACATTCCCAGTGGGTCAGACGTTTACATACACTCAGTTAGTATTTGGTAGCATTGGCTATAAATTGTTTAACTTGGGTCAAACGTTTCAGGATGCCTTCCACAAGCTTCTTACGATAAGTTGCTGGAGTTTGAGCCCATTCCTTATGACAGATCTGGTGGAACTGAGTCAGGTTTGTAGGCCTCCTTGCTCGCACACACTTTTTCAGTTCAGCCCACAAATGTTTTATTGGATTGAGGTCAGGGCTTGTGATGGTCACTCCAATATCCAGTACCTTGACTTTGTTGTCCTTAAGCCATGTTGCCACAACTTTGGAAGTCTGCTTGGGGTCACTGTGCATTTGGAAGACCCATTTGTGACCAAGCTTTAACTTCTTGGCTGATGTCTTGAGATGTTGCTTCAGTATATCCACATCATCTTCCTTCCTCGCGATGCCATCCATTTTGTGAAGTGTTCCAGTCCCTCCTGCAGCAAAGCACCCCCACCACATGATGCTGCCACCCCTGTGCTTTACGGGTGAGATGGCGTTCTTCGGCTTGTGAGCCTCCCCCTTTTTCCTCCAGACATAATTACGGTCATTATGGCCAAACAGTTACATTTTTGTCTCATCAGACCAAATGGCATTTCTCCAAAAAGTAAGATATTTGTCCCCAAGTGCAGCTGCAAACCGTAGTCTGCCTTTTTTATGGCGGTCTTGGAGCAGTGGCTTCTTCCTTGCTGAGCAGCCTTTCAGGGTATGTCGATATAGGACTCGTTTTACTGTGGATATAAATACTTTGGTATGGTGTTTATAGATAAGTAGTATTGTTTGCACAGATGAGCGTGGTACGTTCAGGCATTTGGAAATTGCTCCCAAGGATAAACTAGACATGTGGAGTTCCACAAATGTTTTTTTCTGAGGTTTTGGCTGATTTCTTTTGATTTGATTTTTGATTTTACCATGATGTCAAACAAAGAGGGTTTGAGTTTGAAGGTAGGCCTTAAAATACATCCACAGCTGCACCTCCTACTGACTCAAATGATGTCAATTAGCCGATCAGAAGCTTCTAAAGCATGACATAATTTTCTGGAATTTTACAAGCTGTTTAAATGCACAGTGAACTGAATGTATGTAAACTTCTGACCTCCTGGAATTGTGGCATATGGAATGATGAGTGAAATACTCTATCTGTAAACAACTGTTGGAAAAATTACTTGTGTCATACATAAAGTACATGTCCTAACTGACTTGCCAGAATGAGAGTTTGTCAGCATGTCATCTGTGGAGTGGTTAAAAAAATTATTTTGACTTCAACCTAAATGTATGTAAATTTCTGACTTTAACTGTAGGTATCCCTACAGTGTTATATGCTGGCTAGGGGACTTTGACTGCCAGCCAACCCCAATCAAGCTACAGGGACAAAGCCTCTCATGTGATAGTTTATCTACCTGCCTCAGCTGCACACACAGAGAATAATGTAAATACAAGCAGTGCAAAGAACATAATTACATACACACGATCAAGAAGTGTAAAAATGCTCCTAGAATACATTTAATATACTTCATAGGTACATGCACTCATAGACACGGTAAGAATATGGAGACACTGAAACTGACAGTCAGGAGGTCACAACAGGTAGATCAATGATAATGACTGTGAGTGTTTTGTTAGATACATGACTTTAGGCAGTGCGTGCCCACATGTGGTAAAATCAGTCAGGAGCTCAGAGAGGAATTTATATTTATGAATGGTCACCAGAAAAGGATGAAATCATTTAGCCATGTAGTTTAGTCTATATTAAGCACATAATCATATCTGAAGTGCAGTGAAGAAATAAGGAGAATTGAAAAGTGTTTCCTCCTGAGTTAAAACATTTCCAGTTTACTGTAGAACAGTAAGACCAGAAATCATGCGCGCGTTTACACTCTAATCTTGTTATCACGCTGCACAATTTAACACCAAGGGGTTTGAAATATACTGCTCTGTGTGTACATGTGTGTGTGTGTGTGTGTGTGTGTGTCTGATCATAGCTTCTTTTACCATTCAATTCAATTCATTCAATTCATGCATTGACCTTGCCAACAAGTTGTCATTGTTGATGTAACACTGCAACTGTTTTGGACCCGTGATGGATGGGGGTTGGGTGTGTAACTGATACACAGATATCTTTATTTGTGTTCCATGTATTCTTCTTCCTTGTCAAAACCTACATTACCTATAATATAACTTTACCGCTGGCAGACTGCTGAGCAGAGATTCAGATGTATTTTGGTAGTAGAGACTAATGCATCCTTAAGAGATGAGGAGCTACTGTGATTGGCTACTGTACCTCAAAGCTCTTAATCATCTTTAACTTAATAGGGGGAACAAAAAACTAAATAGACTGTGGATTATTTTCTCTAACTATAGGCTGTTTTTATTGCTCTTTGTGCAGTCTTGTTTGATGAACATTTCAGTTTTTGCATCAGGGTACTGTTTCCAGTTTGTTATTTAAGTCTGATCATAATGACTAAAGACTATTTGGCCTACTATGCTATTTGTTTCTCCAATTCAAATTCTCCTTCCCTCTGGCACTGTCAGTATAAAAGCGATGCTACAGAGGCAGCCGGGGGCACAAATAGACCTCGCTAACCTTTCATAACATGCTTATTATCCATCCACAAAGATACTGAATCATAAGCTTCTTGGCTTGGCTGGTTATATGTGGCCTGATAATGCAAACATTAAACATTGGCCTCCTAATTCAATAATAGCTCATATGTATAATTCAATATGAGGCTTCCGTGGAGTGGAAAAGGGCAAGAAAGAAGAGAGCGAGCAAACTGAAGACCATCAGAGGAATTTCTTGAGGTGGAACAAAATATTTCTGCAAGCATCATCATCATCACCATTATCATCACCTTCACCAATACTGGTGATGTAAATAATTGATATCTCTTATTATTTTCTTCCATCTCATCCTTTAAAAGCTTGCTCCAGTTCAAACAGACTGCAAAATTAATACACTGTGTGAATTAGCATGACTGTAATGCAGACAGAATAGGAAGATAGAACACAAGAACACCATTCAAAAGAGAGAAGGATGCGCAGAAAGGCAGGAGACTACAATTAAAGACACTAGTAGTGAGACCTTGGAGAGAGATGTAACAGAAGTGAGCAGGTGCCTACCTGAGGTAACGCAGTGGTTCTATAGTTTCAGCCTCTGCCTCAGCTGAGCTGTGGTTCATCTTGCCTGTCTGTTTTCACTCAGCACGTCTCAGCAAATATAAGGAAGGATGAGCTGTGCCGCTCCAAAGAAAACACTTCAGCTCCTTCAGTCTGACTCTGATTCAATAAACACAGGCTACCTCGTTGCCCGGGAATAGATTGAGAATCTAAATGGACTTCCTTTCTCTGTATCTCTGTCTGGGTTTGCACACGAAAAGGTAATTACTGGCTGCTACATACACACACAGTGAATCTTGCCTTTATTTCTGCCTCTCCTTTCTATCTCTTCCCACTGTGGTCCTGGCTCTTTCTCTGATAAAACCACTTGGCTCTGTGTATCAGCTGTGCTCACCGGGAAAGCCAGCCAATTAAGAATCAGGAGGCATGGCGCTTGCTGGCTGATTGGTGAAGGCTGCCATAGCTCATAGCTGTTCAGTCATCCAGAGTGCTATCCCCCCTCCCCTCCCTCAAATTCACAAATTATACACACACACACACACACACACACACACACACATAGCCATGCATACTACTTGGCAGCAAGAGGATCCCTTGATGTAGAATCTAGAGCAAGCATCAGAGTGAGGAAACACTTGACAGCTCAGTGAATCGCCTTTCATATGATGGTGTGAGGTTGATGAAGCCCACTATCTAAACTGAGAAAATAACACTATAGTAGCTGAGTGGGTACATAACAGCAATTTACAGCTCCTACACAAATTGTAGGTGATAGGACAGGGACAGCAAAAGGACTTTGGTGCATGCATACTGATCATGTGAATTTAGGGCAGCTGAGAAAAACACATATTATATTATTAAAAAGTAAATATTAACACACAAACATACAGAATTAAGTAGACACAAATGCACACAGGAAGGAAACGTACTGTAGCGGCACAGGGAGAGTTTGTGGCAGTCAAGGAATGAAACTCAGATTAAATGGGTCATGGTAATAAAAAAAATAGCTCACTTTATTCTATAAAAGGTTTCTCTCTTTCTCCCACTGGTTTGCTCTGACTTTATGCTTATCAAACAGACTTAGTCTGAAGTATTAAATTACAAATCGGGTTTTTTTTAAAAGCATTTATTCACAATGTAAGCATTTGTTTTTCTATCAGAGTATAAAAACTTCCCTGTTAGGAAGATCTAGGACAAATGCAGGTGCAATGGAATAATGGTGTATTCTGCCATCTAGAGGTTATAAATAACCATAATAATTGCAAGTTAAAAAAGCAAACACAATGAAACTAGTGCAACAATTGGTTCAGCATTTCTGTCTGAAAACCTGTCAATATGAGAGAAAAGACAATTCACAAGAGAATATAACATGATAGAAATTTGTTTTGTTATGAGCATCAGATCACTAAAAAGTCAGTCATGGTAACACTGCCATCAACATTTGAGGGCGGTCAACAGCAGTTGTTGACATAAGAAGAAGCAGCTTTATTTTATGGTCATTGTAACATTGTGACACGTACAACAAAATTTTGTTTAAAGCCGCGGGCCCCGGGCCGCTGCATGCATATGCACTGCCATCACAGGCAACTTAGGGTTTCAGTATCTTGGCCAAAGACACTTCGACATGTGGACCACAGGCACCAAGATTCGAACCTTCAACCCTCCGGTTGAGAGACCACATTAAAAATGTTTAATTTGGTCAATGTGTGATAAATTCAAAGGATAGGATCACTTTTAATCCAAGTTTATCTTAAAAGAAATACTCTCTCCATATGTACATTGATAGCATTACACATCCTGTAAGTATTCTTATGTCCATCTACATTGGCCTTTAAGAGATCCCTTGGAATAATAGTGTAAGTGCAGGAGACAGGGGACGAAGTCCACAGAATTATTGTTTTGCGCCAAAGATCTGTGCTAAAGTTCAGCCTATGCTAATATGTGACTTATCACCCTGCAATTCTTTTTTTTTTTACAAAAAGAGACTAGAGGTAACACTGATTTAGTGGTTTGACTGGGCTGTAGGTTAAGGTTTGAGGCCCTTGTGAGAATAAGTGAAGCAAACTCTGGTTTTTCTGTAGTTTTTATTTATTTATTTTTTTTTGCCAATTGTTGTTCAGGGGTAGCAAGCAAAATTAAAATAGAAAAGACCTGCCCATAGGCCTACAAGTAATTACCATCACTTCATCACAGCTTTTACTGCATTCACCTCCAGTGCCTCAAAGCCCAGGAAGCACATATTACTATGGTTTAAAGATGCAAATTATTCATATTAATCATTTTTCTTAAGTTAATTGTTAATAAAAACGTTTTCATATATTAAAAATCCCATAGGTGATTATCAAATGTCTTAATTTGTCCAACGGACCGTCCAAAACCAAAGGTCAGTACACATTGATATCAAACAAAGAAAAATTACAAATTCTCACATAAATTGTCAGGACATTTACCAATTAATATTCTGATGATCAATTAATAGACTAATCATTTCAGCCCTACTATGTTGAGAGAGTGAGCTATTAGAAAAAGTGGCCTATTGTGAATAAACATGCAAACAACTACAACAGCGGGGTTAAAATTTGTTTTATTTGATAGTGCAGAAAAATCAAAAAACATATTTCTCATACATTTTCTCTTCCATTTGGGCAGCACTGCATTTAACAGCAGTCGAACCCCAAACAAATGGAATGGTGGTATTGTTGCCAAACAAAAGCAGCAGCCGGCAGTAATCAGGACAGCACAGGGTTACATTTAGCAGGGTACAAAATGATGGGCTCAGTCCAGATTGCTTATTTTGCATCTGCAAGACATGGGTTGTCCTCCTTTTGCCTGTCAGGAATGTACAGACAACCTGGATTTCTGATGCTACTTTGAGACAAACCTATAACATCAAGCTATTTAAAAACTTTTATTTCTATCAGCAATTTGTGTGTTGTTGCACCATCCTAATTGCAACCCATGTGTAGAAAAAATGATGATACCCCAGAACAATAGGGATAAATGTCAACTGATGCCCAGTTACTTAATGCAGTTCACCATCTTTCAATATGGAGCCTGACAATGATCAGTGAGCTAAAGAGTGCAGTCAAGACACAAACACAATGTCACACTAGATCATCACATCACTGATGTATTAGGAAATCAAGAGTGAACCAACAGGGAAGCAAGATCCTAGGCATTTTATTACAGTGATGAGTTAAGACTATTGCTGCAATGTTAAAATGATTTAAAAAAAAAAAGGGGGGACAGACAAAATGCTGAGAAAAACTGATGGTAGCCTCTTGTCATTTGGGTTTGTGGTTTTAAACATCCTGCTTGATAAACATGCAGTGTTACCATTTTAACTGCTTAATTTTAACACATCAATATTATTATTATTTTACATTATTACATTTTCCAACAGGGCACATAAATGGGAGGTCATTGCTGAGTAAAAGGGGTTAAAGAATTTGGGCCACCTCAGAGACTGAAATCAAACAAAACAGCACATGGTTGTTAAATATGAGCAATGGCAACTGGCGTTTAACATAGGACATGCTTTATTTCACTAGCTTATCCTGTGCTGCTGCTACCTGATAAAACGGCACTATAGCTCATGTGAAAGGCATAGTTAGCTCAATTCAAGGACCTGACATAAATCATACACACCTTAATGTTAAAGACTAAGAGGTTCAGGTCATTTGTTGCTATAGGACTTTTGCATAACTACATTCTGAAAGCTGTCCAGCTTCACTCAGACCAGTCATAGGGTGAGTGGGAGCCACTGGACACACAAGAGCAAGCAAATCAGCTGAAGTGGTCATCCACTCAAACATGGGGCATAAGCATACATCTTTACTAACATGACCCTATAAATAAACCCAGACAGTCTGTCTACAGGAAAAAAAAGAATGCAGTAGAATCTATGACTAAAAGCAAAACCATGTCAAAAATATGACACTTTACACACACACACCCCACCCCCCAGTTTAGCATGGATTCATGTTTATAACCAGAGGGTGCAAATAAACTAAAAACCTTCTAGTAGAAGGGATTCCATTTGGGCCCCACGGGTTCTTTGGAAGGTTTTCCTTTATAAAAATAAAATAAAATAAAATATTCAATAAGAATAGTCCTCCAAACATACGCTTCATGTTTTTACAGGAGTCAGTGAAGTCTTTAGTTTTCCTCTTTATCTTAGAAGAAAAGTATTTAAGTAGGCCACATCATGGAACCCAGCAGATGTAAAACCACCTCAACAGTAACATGAGCCTGTAAATTCAGACCTCAACAAGAGGCCACTTCCAAAGTATCAGGGAGCACAATATTCCAAAGACAGTATATGACTTACAGGAGAAAAGACAAAAATCTAACATTCAGCCATACAAAACAATCCAACACACATCAACTTCTCTACTAGACACAACGTGGGTTAGAGAGAAGAGGCAGTCTGTGTGCAGATAGATAATTTTTTACAGTCCTTTTTATTTATTTATTAATTTTTGCAAAGCTGAAGCAGTTATTTCATGGATGGTCCTCAAAGCTCATCCACAATCCCTGTGGTGAGGTCTTCAGTAAAGTCCAGTGTGGCCACCATGCGGGCCTGAGTCTGACTGGTTCAGACTAGGGGTATGACATAAGGCGAATATTTTAATGTGTATAACAGTTTTTTTTTCCTGCCTAATCCAGAGGCAGGAGGACTAAGAGATTGTGTGGCAGCTTCTTCTTGGTGCAACTGGGAGGTTCAACAGGGGAGGGAGGGGCAACGTCACTGCAGATGCTTATAAAATTGTACAATCCCATGTCTACCCCAACCCTCAAAAGGATACCCAATTTCTATTTGACCAACTCCGTGTATCCCAGAGGCCCAAGCTGCTGCAGCACAACTCCAATTTGTGAAGCAAGTCTGGTAAAAAAAGATGGTAGCAGAAAGATCTGAGGAGGAGATGGAGGAACACTTCCATCCAACAAAGAGGCTGGTTCTCTGCTACACCATATTGGCCCAAGGCAGAGTCCACAGAAAGGATCAGAATGAGAATGAGAATGGGGGGTTACAATATTAAGAGGAGTAATAGTTACGGTGTCAGTAGGGATAAAATTTGCATTATTTCCATGTATTAGCTGCTTGTGAGATAGAACGGGAAGGAATCATGTCCAGCAGGTATTCTCGTTGACGCTCCACAGAGGTGGTCTTATGGGCAGACAAGCTGGGGTTCACATAGGCCATAGTCACACCTGTCAGGAGACACAAGTGGTCAAAGTACCAGACATTTAACATCAAGCTGATTATACAATGATTCTACCAAAATTACATTTTAAATTAAAAAAGAGAAAGGAATAAGTTGGCATAAGGTGAGATGAGAGAAGGTGAAAAATATTTTGTCCACTATCAATCAAAGAAAAGTGAATAAAGAGCAAGGAGTGAAAGTGCCAAAGAGGAATCCACATTAGAAGAGAGTGCATACTCCAAACAGGAGCAGAAAGCAAGAACGGGTGGTGCTCGTTCTCAGCCTGACCTCGTCTCACGTTTATCTACCTGTGTTGCCACTGTTGCCACTGTTCTGCTTCCTCCAGGGAGCCACGTTGCCCTGGTTACTGCTGCTGCTGCCGGCGCAGACCTTTGCCCCCTGCTGCAGCAGGCGTGCTGCAACATGCTTACCTGGCCTGCTGCCCAGTGCCGCTGCTGTCACCGCGCTGTGCAGCTGAGAGGTGGTGGTGAATGACTGGGCCACACTACGAGCGCCCACTGCAGACTGGATGCTGTGTGACAGCTGACTCTGAACAGAGCGATGGAGACATAGTGAGGGAATATTGGTACAGATGTTAATTAACATGCAGATATTTTGGCTGCTGATCTATCAAGAAAAACGTTTTAAGTGTACCCGGCCCATCACAGCATCAAGTCATGCTAACCTGCTTAATGGTGGAATGGTGTGCAGCCACAGGCCTGTGCTGCATGGCAGCCCTGACCTGCTGGGACACCAGCACCTCACTCTTGGACAGTGAGGGAGAGGATGATGAGGTGGTTTTAGAGACAGGGGAGGCAGAAGAGGAAGCAGGCTGCTGCAGGATGCGCTGCTCAATCTCCTGCTCCTGTTGGAGTGCCTTAACAAATGCTGCCTTCAGTCGATTGGTGTGCTCAGCCTTTAGGGCCTTCTTCTGATTGGATGACATGCATTGGTCACAGAGGATGGTCCCAGCCTTCTCCTTTCTCCAGCGGGAAGTAAAGTCTGTCTTACACTGGGCACAGGTGTATGGCTCTTTGGGAAAAGAGCTGGACATTGCAGCAGCTGGGCCCATATTACCTTATAATGAATGAAAGAAACAGAGCTTCTTTTAGGTGCATTCCTTTAAATTCTGCAACTATGTAGATGTTGAAATACAACATCCACAAACCACCAGAACTAACAGAAGGTGAAGATTGACCCACCCCTGCCGTGCATCTCCAGAAGTTTTTGCACCACCTCTTCCAACCCCAACAAATAGATGAACTCATTATTGGCTGCAGAAGGCAGAAAGTTGAACTCAGGGGCAGGAGGTTTGGGTGGAGGGATTTCTAGTAGTGTCTTCTCCAGCTGCTTACGCAGTGCAAGCTTGGCAGCTGCCTGTCGGCTGGCTGGGGACTCGTTGACACTAGAATTGGGTGATACTGAAGAGCCCTTTAGGCTAGTTGGAGAGGCCTGGACACAAATAAATACAACTTCAGGGACAACACATGAGCATGTTCTTCTTATGGCTGAGCAAAAGCAGGACAGCAATGCAGTGTAGTCTACACAAGAAAAAAAATAAAATCTCTCTCCTCTGTGATAGGGTTGCATCAATATACCAGTGTCACAGTATATCATGGTGTGACAATTGATGATTTTCATATCATGCACATTTGCTTATTACTGGTATAGAAGAAAAAAAACACAACTGCTGCCACATGCACAAATGCAGTGTAAAAAAATGGCTGAGAGAAGTGAGGGGGATATCAACATACTCCATTCAACAAAAAAAGAAATTAAAATCAGAAGCATGGTATTACATTGCATGTTATAAAAATGAACACATTCGAGAACACCATCCCTCTGTGGAGATCAAAGTATGTGTCCCTTTTATAACTTTAATCCCAAACAACAAAACGTGTGAGCGTATAAATGTCAGTTATAAAAAGTACTTGACCTGTTTTAACATCAATGCACAAGTAATATTAATGTAATATTCTAACATATGAGAGTAACAGTCACAGCAGACAATTTTCTGCATCAAGTACAGTGCCTTGTGAAAGTATTCGGCCCCCTTGAACTTTGCGACCTTTTGCCACATTTCAGGCTTCAAACATAAAGATATAAAACTGTAATTTTTTGTGAAGAATCAACAACAAGTGGGACACAATCATGAAGTGGAACGAAATTTATTGGATATTTCAAACGTTTTTAACAAATAAAAAACTGAAAAATTGGGCGTGCAAAATTATTCAACCCCCTTAAGTTAATACGTTGTAGCGCCACCTTTTGCTGCGATTACAGCTGTAAATCGCTTGGGGTATGTCTCTATCAGTTTTGCACATCGAGAGACTGAAATTTTTGCCCATGCCTCCTTGCAAAACAGCTCGAGCTCAGTGAGGTTGGATGGAGAGCATTTGTGAACAGCAGTTTTCAGTTCTTTCCACAGATTCTCGATTGGTCCCTCTAAACTTTCAGCTCATACAAGGAGAAGACTGATCAGAGATGTAGCCAAGAGGCCCATGATCACTCTGGATGAACTGCAGCGATCTACAGCTGAGGTGGGAGACTCTGTCCATAGGACAACAGTCAGTCGTATACTGCACAAATCTGGCCTTTATGGAAGAGTGGCAAGAAGAAAGCCATTTCTTAAAGATATCCATAAAAAGTGTCGTTTAAAGTTTGCCACAAGCCACCTGGGAGACACACCAAACATGTGGAAGAAGGTGCTCTGGTCAGATGAAACCAAAATCGAACTTTTTGGCAACAATGCAAAACGTTATGTTTGGCGTAAAAGCAACACAGCTCATCACCCTGAACACACCATCCCCACTGTCAAACATGGTGGTGGCAGCATCATGGTTTGGGCCTGCTTTTCTTCAGCAGGGACAGGGAAGGTGGTTAAAATTGATGGGAAGATGGATGGAGCCAAATACAGGACCATTCTGGAAGGAAACCTGATGGAGTCTGCAAAAGACCTGAGACTGGGACGGAGATTTGTCTTCCAACAAGACAATGATCCAAAACATAAAGCAAAATCTACAATGGAATGGTTCACAAATAAACATATCCAGGTGTTAGAATGGCCAAGTCAAAGTCCAGACCTGAATCCAATCGAGAATCTGTGGGAAGAACTGAAAACTGCTGTTCACAAACGCTCTCTATCCAACCTCACTGAGCTCGAGCTGTTTTGCAAGGCGGAATGGGCAAAAATTTCAGTCTCTTGATGTGCAAAACTGATAGAGACATACCCCAAGTGACTTACAGCTGTAATCGCAGCAAAAGGTGGCGCTACAAAGTATTAACTTAAGGGGGCTGAATAATTTTGCATGCCCAATTTTTCAGTTTTTTATTTGTTAAAAACGTTTGAAATATCCAATAAATTTCGTTCCACTTCATGATTGTGTCCCACTTGTTGTTGATTCTTCACAAAAAATTACAGTTTTATATCTTTATGTTTGAAGCCTGAAATGTGGCAAAAGGTCGCAAAGGTCAAGGGGGCCGAATACTTTCGCAAGGCACTGTACTTCTACTTTTAATCCTTTAAGTAAATGTTTGTGATAATACTTAGATATTTTTACCTAACAGTTTCAATGCAGGACTTTTACTTCTAACAAAGTACTTTACAGTGTGGTATTAGTACTGTTACTTAAGTAAAGGATGTAAATACTTGCAAACTATAACCCTATTTTTTGTGTGTATTGTGTTTTAATACTCTGTTGCCCTTATGTAACTTATTTTAAGACTAAGTGTTCTTTCTGGCTTTTGACTCCTTACCTGACTCCAAAGAAGAGCTGCACAAGAATTCCTATGTGCCTAGACTGTCTGTTTATGCATAAATGGTAAATAAAAATCTTGAATCTTGAAACTAACATGCTTTAGTGATAGAACATGTTATAGTTGCATGCTTTTTCAATCATGTTTATTATTATAATTCTGTTAATTCTTTAGGGTTAAACTAGCAGTACCCAGTCCAGCACTGTCACAGTCACTTGCAACCCTAGTTAACAGAAATTGTATACTTGGTCCTCACCTGAGGGATGTTGACCATGACATTACTGTTGGCCACATTAGCCACCCGAATGAGTCCCTGCTGAATGATCCTCTGGCCCTGAACTTGGACATTGGGCACAGATGCCCGTGGAGCCAGCAAGAGTGGAGGGGGGCCTGAACCACTGTGTTGCTGCTGCTGCTGCTGACGCAGACTGGCTATCTGCTGAGGTGTCACTGCAATAGGCTAATAGCACCACACACACAGAAACAGCCATCAGAGAGAAGCAATAAGTAGACAAAGTGAGAAACTGACAGGGCTCCCCCCAACTGACTTCACTTTAACAGTGAGACAGTATTGTGACACACTAACCTGGGCTCCTCTGACTAGAGGTGGCATGACAATCTGAGAGTTGTGTTTGGAAGGGACATGTTGGCCACCCCTCACTAATGGAGGAGGGATCACTGTGCCGGAGCTACGACCTGTCACCTGAAAACACAACAATACAAATATAGTGTAAATAAAGTCATGCTTCTTAACATTATACTTCAAAAAGTGGAGCACTTGGCTTTGTATTAATGAAAACTCCTGAAATATTTGCCCTCTACTGTATACTGTACCAGAATAAGACAACCTAGATCCACCCACCAAACCAATTAATCCAAACTCTACAATACAAGTAGCGGCAGGGGGCTCTAACAAAATGTGGTAACTACCTGTAGGGGTCCTTTATTTGATGTAATGCTACCTCTCACCAAAGGAGGAGGAGTAGCCACAGAGCCAGTCACCTAGAAATTAAAAGTAAGAAGTATGTACTTGAAGATATGAAGCAGAAATGTTTGTTTTCATTAATGATGTCAACTAAAACACAAGAAACAAGGACATTTAAGGAGAACTAACACCCTTCTGATAAACAGCGGCTGTGTTCACAAAACCTGAAATTAAAGTTTCAGTTCTCATCTCTTGTTGCTTCTACAGGTTTAAGAAAACACACACACTTTTTACCTTCTGTACAGTGCTGTCCTTCTGGATCTGGCTCTGCCGTAATTTCTTAAGTAGCACCAGTTTGGCCTCTTGGAGTCTCAGTTCTTCCTTCAGTTGTTTAATAATGTGCTCCCTCTCCTCAGAAGAACTCTTCTGTATACACACAATAAGAAATAAAAAGGCATTTTAGGGTTGATTACTTTCCAGATCTTCGGTGTCCGTTTATCAAGGCTGATGAGGGTGTTTTGGAATAGATAAATCTAGCCCAAACCAATTCAAAACAAATGAAGTTAGAGGTGCATTACCCAAGATTTTACACACTGATAAATCAAGTGAAAATGGGACAGGATGTGGTCTCTCTCCTCTATACTACCTCCCTTCATGACTGCCTCCCACAGCACTTCTGTTGTTTTTCCAGTTTATCTAAACTGTTTTCAAAGTACAGTGCTTACCTTAGCACAGCCTGCCAACTAGCAAAGGTTATAAGAACCATTTTTCACCTCGTCTGCTAAAGTCCAAAACAGTGGCTACAAGACTGAAGAGGTCATGTTCTTTTGCACAGACAGAACGGGACAAAGAATGAGCAAAAACCAGGGTTAACACTGGTTTGGCTTTTTGAGATGTAGAGCATTAAAAGCCAAATTACTCAGTTTTGTTTCAGATGTGGAGTTCTTCCTTCTGGATGCGTTAGCATCTGAAGATAAAGTGCCTGTTTTGTTAATACAAGCAACCTAGAATGGTCAGGATTTTACCTTTGTATTGAATTGATGACTTTAATTTGACAGTAATACAAGCTTTGTGTAACATTATGCATTATGTCACATTAGCAGTGACTAGAGTGTTCTATTGGATTGCCAAATTTACTCAGCAGTCAGCTTCTTACTAGAGGGTGCATTGTGTTCAGTTTGTCGCTACCAGGCCCCATAGTTTACATTGTCACTAGGAAACAGGACAGTACTGGTGGACAGGATTTACTTTTAACATATCTGCAATGTATTATAACTAGAAAAAAAACTACAATTTAAGACATCTGCAATTCAGTTTGGACTAGTAATTATTCCTCATTGATTTAAATGGGAAAACTAATTTAGAATATCTAGAATTCAATTTTACTTCTCAAATGTGAATCTGGGTGTCTATGTTTACATTCTGATCAAATTAAAGATCTTTAATTTGGCACATTTAAAAGATAACTTAATTATCTTAGGCAGAGTATCTCTAAAGCAATTTCAGTAGATCAGAACAATGGCTTCAAATTCGTTATAGAATCTATCTACTGAAGTCAGTGTGAGATATACATTATCCCTTTACTCCTCTGGCTCAGTTAACTAGTGAGGATGAAGATTTCTCTGTGTAGACAAGAGGGCAAGAGACTGTGTTGTATGCAAAGTATAATATCTGTTTTCATACCATAAGTTTATCTGTGTCGGTCTTTGTGAAGCAGTGTCCATTCATGAGAGGACTGGATGGCTCGTTGTCTGATAACACAATCACATCATCTGGAGATGGCGGCTGCCGCTCTCTTTTAATGTCACTGAGGGGAGACATATTAGAAAGAAAACATTAGTAATGAAACTGCGTTTCATCATCCAAGGCTCAACATCACACTATTACATTTCAGTTTAGAGCACTGCAATGAGCATCAACTACAACAAACTTGTAGTTTTGTCTAACATCCTGTAGATGGCAGTATATAGTTTTGGTTTCACCATCTCTGTTGTAGCGCAAATGTGTACTGGGACACAAGAAGACAAGAACCAAGAGATCAATAATGGAGTAATGGCAGCAGGGACAGATCGCAACAACCCATTATCTCCAGCAAAAGCTACCATCAATGAAGCTCCTCTATCCCTTCAAACAGCAAAGTCAGTCATAATATGCAAACAAAAGGGGACATTAACTGCCCAGTTATTTTCTCATAGGTGGAGAAGGCCTACTGTCTCTGATAAAACATTAATTGGCTTTTCCTATGAACTGAGGAGAACAAAGACAACTAGTGGCAAGTTACATGTGTATCAATCTGGAGAGGGGTGGAGATAAAAAGTAGGGGTTGGTTAATATTACAACGTATGGACTATGGCAGAAGACTAAATCTGCATCCATCACAGCAGGGATCCTGTCAGGATCCGGAGGGTTATTGTGCTTAAAGATATACATCTGAGTGGTAAGGGAAAATTGGTGGAAGATGAGGTAAGGTAGGGGCCGTGATATGTGACAGTACTGAAGAGGTCATGGTGTGGAGCTATGCATGCACAGATGCAGTGAAGTTACATAATTGTTCAGATACTGTCAAGCTACAAGGCTTCATCCTTGTTTACCACCCAGACAGGGCCTCACCCCTCCCCTAGCACCGTGGTGAGGCTTATGGCCTAGTCGGCCCAGCCTGGGCCTCAGCTTTGCCCTCCTTCCCAGCTGCCGACACCAGAATCACAAGCGGAGCAGAGCGGAGGTTTGCTGGAGACACTGGGGAGGGTGACAGTGAGGGGGAGGGGAATACATGGCCAGGAGCCAACCTATTGTGTATATGCTCTCACTCACTCAGTCACTACTTCACACACCCCTCCCCCATCCTTACTTACTTGTTCATCTTTTATACTCCCAACTCACTGACTCAGTTCTTCACACTTCTTCCTCCTTTAGCTCACTTCTGTCCTTAGACACGTTTCTTTGCTATTCTCTTCTTGCTCCCAGCTATGCAACTTCAATATGATCAGTTTAACAAGGTCAACTATGTAACAATAAGCATGCTGTTTATGCTAACTTTATGAGATGAGATTTTCAGCAGACTAAGAAATCACACCATAAACCATTGCAGAAATGTAGTGCCATGACAGGTGCTAAGCACACAATCAAACCCCTGGTAATACCTACTGATTCTTCATGGAATTTACTTCCCTGATACATTTTCATTCAAATCTAGTAGGACGTCTGACAACCTGGCACTTTCAGAATACTGTTCTGTTCATGCCCCAACACATAGCTGACGCCTGAAGGGTCAGCCATTTTTCTACACTGTATATGTATACAATATGATCATCTGTGTCAGACATCAGAGAGGAATCAGGAGGTTCAACATCTCTCGCAAAAGTTCAGTGGTGACCCACTGCTTTGACTGACTTGGCCTCTGACAAAATGACATGGACTAGCTTGAGATGGTTTCTACTGCTCTAATAGGAACAGCTTACACAAGCAGCACAACACACAGCTGCAAGGTTATGCAAGGTTCAGTGTTTCTGCATGTCTTGGCTTCCCCGATTCATGGCTCTACACCAAACCCACTATATGATTGCTGAATCAGTCATTATTAGGTGCGCTGGGATTATCCATAAAGCGATACAGTGAAAAGCATCATTTTAAGATATGTGAAGCTATTTACATAAATCAAATTGCTACACTATACATATGCAACATGATATTTTTGAAATGTTACATATTATATAGGTATACATTCAAGACATGCTCAGTTCAGTTCCATTATTACTGTGCGGTGTGGGAAATATGGCTTGCATTGCATTTCTCTAGCAGTTTTATAAAGTTGGCCTAACACAGACTAAGTCTTCTATAGGCAGCAATAAGGTAATCACCTTACACAGAGTAAAAACATCAACACATGCTGAAGGTTAAACAGGGGCTAAAGGTGACACTTCAGTGAACTTATGATACACCACAGATGCAGTGAACACATTTTCAGCTGAATCACCTCTGTTCCACTTTAACTGCCATCACATCAGTGTGTGTATTTATTGCTCTACCAAACACATCACATGACATCAGGCATTTCTCTGTGTGGTCATGTGACACACCCACCCACCCTCCTGGCCCCTCCTTCCTCCAACTACTCCTTCCAACATAGAAACCATGGCAACGGCCAGTTGGATCCAGTTTGTGACACATAGCCTTCATTTTGTGTGAAGTGTGAGGCAGAGTTCAGGTGCTGCTGTGAGAGAAAATGGAGCCCAGGCCTCAGGAGCCTCAAACTTCTCAAAATGGGGGCAGGTTACTGACAACCACACAGTGACTTCCTGTATCACTCCTGTTAGACCACTTGCTAGCGCAAGGTTAAAGAAACTTCAGACTCCAATAGACAAATCTCTATGCACAACCACACATTGTGCATGCATGCAATCCAATCTTGCAGTATATAAATGTTCCTTACTGTAAGCTTTCAAACAATCTGATCTGATGAAACAACATCACTTATGTGTAACTATAACAAATACAGAAGAAAACTATCCTTTGGATCTTAAACCCTCATAGGTACATATTTTGAGAGCAGATTATGATGTGTTTTGTCCAGCAGGAAATACTTAAAAAAGGTTTATTGTGGACAAAGTTAGCTGACTATGCAGAACTGGCGCCAGTATACAGGAGTAGATATCAAATGTCCACAGTAAAGTGGATGGCATTCATTTTGAAACTACTCACAAATTAATGACTTCTGACAGTATGGTGTGGTGTAAGCTGAACAAAGTTCAATATGTTCATTAAAACCAACAAGCTCTCAGCCACTATTCATTAACACCATAAACCATTGATCTTACTGCAGGAATTAAGTCCACAAACAGGCAGCCACCAAATCAAACCCTGTGATCCTTCCTTGTCTCACCTTTTTGATGTGCTCATATCAACGGGCTCGTCTCTAGTCTGCACCTCCAGCTTAATAGTAGCCTTCACTTCCCCAGCCTTTAGGATGCTGGCTGCAACCTTTGCAGCCTGCTCACTCTTCAGCTTGCCACTCTCAGCTCCAGAACCCACCAGGGCCATGGGACCTCCAGCTGCATCTCCTCTCTCCAGTTTAACCCGCTTACTGTCCAAGTCCCCCAGGGACCCGGCAACAGCTGC